CAAAGTTGGACGCTCAACCAACTGAGCTACCCTGGTGCCCCAGCAAGTCTTTTTTTGACCCAAGCAGTGGTTCTATGGGCGTTCCACTAGCAATGACTTATTCACCTTTCTTAAGTGTGTATTATTGAAGTTTTGTGATATATCCATAAAACCTTATTTCTAATAATTTTGTTTTGTAGATACAATGCAAATGCCTAAGCATATTAAAAATTAGGTGCAAGCATGACTTATGAAATCAAAAAACTGAAAACCAGAGTAAGTGCTCATCAGTTGATGACTGGCTCAATAAATTATGACACATCCAGGGACATGACAGAAACTTTAAAGGAATAAGGCATCCCTATGTGCACAAATATGGGACAATCTCCAAAATCCATTTAAGCAAACAGTAAGCAGGAAATATAAAAGAGAGCAGAGATGTCATCATTTGCTTTGTGTGTAAGGATGAGGTATGTCATATATGCATGTGTGTTTATAAATGTATATATTTCTAGAAGAATGGGTAAAATATAAAACCCAGAAACAGTGGCTGTCTCTGAAATGGGGAATTGGAATACCAGCGGTCAGGTCATGGATGGGAAGGAAACTTTCTTTTCAGTGTAACTATTGGCAATTGTGAACTTAGAATAAATTAAAAGGTGATATATGCATATACATATATATATGTATGTATGTATGTATATGTAGTAAGTTGAAATAATTTTGTGAGCCAAGTTCCCAATTGTTACATTTGGACATTTGTATGTATCATCACACCCTTTCTTTTGGGAACTGACATTGCCTGGAGAAGCAGGGAGACAAGTATGCATGAAGAGTAACAAAGACAAGGGGCAAAGCAAAGACAGATTCGAGAAGCCAGCGCAAGTGCAAAAGGCACCAGTCTGAAGAGGGCCAGTGACAGGGATGACAAAGCGATAGGAGAAGCCAGGATGCTCGGGTCAGGCATGCTGATAGAAGCAAATGCTTAATATGCAAAAGACCCAAGAAGGAATTCTGCACAGGAGGGGAAAACCCCGTCAATAGTCACTGCTTGCTCTCATGGGCCTGGTATTGCTGGCAAAGCTTAGCAGGTCAAGGAAGAGAAGATATCATGCTCTTACTCATTTATTTGTATTGATCCAAAATACGATCAGCCCCAGAAATGAAATCTTTCTCTCTTCCACAATACCTGTTTTATAGTGCTGTGCACACCATGGTCTTAAAAAGGAGCTGTTGATTCACCCCCATTTCCTCAAACATAAAAACATAACCCTTTCTTCCAAGTGGTTTAGTAGGTTTTCACACCGTCAGCCTGGCAGCAAGCCTGAGCCACTGGCTGATGGCCACATGAGCACATAAAAAGATACTAGCTTGGGGCCCCTGGGTGGCTTAGTCGGTTAAGCATCCGACTTTCGCTTAGGTCATGATCTCACGGTTCATGGTTTCGAGCCCCGCGTCGGGCTCTGTGCTGACTGCCAGCTCAGAGCCTGGAGCCTGTTTCAGTCTGTGACTCCCTCTCTCTCTGACCCTCCCCTGCTCACTCTGTCTCTCTGTCTCTCTGTCTCTCTCTCTCTCTTCTAGAAATAAATAAAAATATTAAAAAAAAAAAAAAGATACTAGCCTTTGACTATCTTTGCTTTGTGTCCCTAACCTGATCATTCCATATTTCAATTGCATATTCCACACTATTTCTGTTAAACAGATTCATCCTGTTAACAGCCATTATGTCACCATTTTATCTTGAAAATTTGTTGAAAGGATGGGGCTTTTGAAGAATATATTCCGGGATATCAAATGTCACACTAAGTGCTTGGATGCATCAGTCTCCAGGACCCTACAGACTCCCATGAGGGCAGAAAAGCATGTAGGGGAAAGAAACTGAAGAGAGGTACAGTGCCAAGGCCACAGTACAAAGGAGATCCACTTTCCAAGTTATCTTCTAGCCAACAGGGTCCTTTTGCCATTTAACACATCCATAGCTCCTGTATAGTGATGCCAAGTTTATTCTCAGTGCAGTTTTCGTAAATCACATCCAAAATATGATTTGGAAAAAAATGCACCTTCTTATGAGCCCACTGTGTACTTGAAAGACCCAGTGCACAAATCATTTGCACCTGTACCATTTCCATCCAGTTCTAAGCTAATTTTAAAAAGGCTCTGAAAGCCTGCCAACAGCACATGTGCACAGAAGATAAAATGTAATAGCAATTAATCCAATCATCTCTGATTTAACGTTAATTTAACCCAGTGGATTATGCCTTGTTTTGTGTGCAACTGTGTTGATCCTGCTACATTTCAGAGAGCCCCCAAATCAATCAAGTCACAATCCCTAATTGCAGTCAAAATGGGGAATTCCACTCAGCAGGGTCCTTCTCTGGAGTATCTATTCCTCCCAAGGAAGAAAGGGAAGTCAAAGAAAGAGGCGTCTCTAATAGCAGGCTGCTAACATCACAGCTGATGGTGTCAGGACTGGCTCTGAAGAGTGGCCTCGTGTTTGCTGGCATATTCGATTGCACTGGGGCTTCTTGCCAGAATGAACAGGAAAGGGCTATCGGAGGAAAGCCAATAGAAGTATAGTTGCTGTTTGAACTAGAAACAAACAACATAAAAAATTCGGGTTGGGGGGGGTGTACAATGCTTTCCTTTATCTTTATTTGCAATATTGATTGAATGACTACAGCAGTTAAAGACCTTTATTAGGACAGCTGTAATTGAAAACTGATACCATGCAACTCCCCACGCCCCAACCGCCCAAGTCTGATTTAACTGGGTTACTGGGTAGACCTACATTCTTGGAGTCAAGGCTGATTGGGAGAATATTTGTCAAGGAATAGAGAACTTTTCAGGTTGCTAATTCCTTCTGTTTGGGTTTTATGGAGAACTGAAATAATGAAAAGTGTTACCTAGGCCCAGGGGCAGCCCCAGAAGTTCAATTGTAGTTCAGCTTTAGTTAAGGATTAGTTAATAGATACTTCACATAAAGTGCTACCATGTTCTTTTTCATAATTTTTCTCTCCCCTCCTCCCTTCCTTTGCAGCTGAGAATAATTAACTGTTCTTTTGTGAGTGTCATTTGTTCTCAAGGAATTAAATGCCACCTTATTTCCCAGAACAAGAATTCAACTGTCATAATTATAGCTTCATTTCAGAAGCAAAAAAAAAATCATAATTTATTACAGATTGTTCAGCATGTGAGATAGGTTTAAATGTCATTGGAAGTAAATTGTGGCATGTCATGAAGGGGTTTTAGCCACCACTGTAATTGATTTATAATTTCACATTTAAAATGAACAACATTCACCCATTGTTCTTGTGTTATATAACTCTGACAGCAATCCCTTGAGAATGAGGCATTCAACTTGGTCAATACACAATAATAATAATAACAATAACAATGATATGCCAATTTTAAAGATAAGTAGTGAAATTTGCATAAGCACTAAGAACATATGTGTTAAAAATGGAGGCTCAATCTCTATAATACAAGGTAAAAATCTATTTTAGAGGGAATGCATTTTGATATTAACATTGAACTCCATAAAATTAAATGACTCTCAAGGGTTTTAATGAAACTCATAAAATTAAGGACCATCAGAATTAAGGTTTAAACTGTTCTCTACCCAGAGTTATAAAGAAAGATACAATAATTGGAGAAGGCGGAGATGAATTTTTCCATTTCTAATTTCAAGCAGATTTAAAATCAATTCCACTTTGAACAGCCATTTATTAGGTTTGCAGTGTGACCCTCAGCCCCTAGGATTACACAGTGGCTATAGGTGGAACAGTGGAAGGATTATGCCGATACTTGATTAGACCACTAAGCGCCTACACACCTATTTTGTGCAAGATGAAGCGAATCCTATGATGGTTCTCATTCTTCAAAATCATATCCATGGGTTTTCATCACTTGCATTTGGATATAGAAACAAACACAAACTCACCCAATGACAGGGACAAACTGCTGTTTGTAACCAAACTGAGCCATGCTTCAGGCAAAAAAAGAATCTTCCCAACCTACTCCTCATCCCGCAACCTGTATATACAGCCTTTTGAAATGCCTTACTTTTCCCTCTGGGAAAGCCAGTACTTTATTCTTTGTTTTTAAAAAGTCAATACGATCGTCTATATACAGAAAAGCTTTTGAAAGGCAAGGCGTGGTAGGCAGAGTAACGGCACCCCCAGATATCCCTGTCCTAATCCCCAGAAACTGTGACTATTACACTCTATGGCAAAGAGACTTGGCAGATGTGGTTAACTGAAGAATTTTTGAGACAGGGAGATTATCCTAGACTATCGGGGCAAGTCCTGAATGCAATCATGAATGTCATTATAATAAGGAGATGGAAGGAATTTTGACTACAGTAGAGGGGAAGACAGTGTGGCTACAGAAGCAGTCCGGAGCCTGGCTAGAACTGGAAGAAGCAGGAAACAGTCTCCCGTAGAGCCTCCAGATGGGACCGAGCCCAGGTGACACTTTGATTTTAGCCCCCATAAGACTCATTTTCAGAACTACAAGAGAATATACTTGTGTTGTATTAAGCCACTCAGTCTCTAGTAATTTGTTACAATGGCAACAGGAAACACACACGAAAGAACCTGATTCACTACAAAGTTTGTCCCAAGATTAAGTTATCTATGTACGGAGGACAACCCCTGGGTTTGAGCCCCACTCTGGCATGGAGTGGAGGCTTCCAGCTTCATTAACACCTGGACTCCTCTGCTGGTACTCAGGCAGTTCCTACAGCTGTCCTCACTGGGGAACAGGAATCCAAAAATTCGACAACATTGCCAATTTAAAAAAGGAGTGGCACTGAGCTTGATTTAAAATAGTCACTGTTTGAAGAGTTAAATAAATATAGTGCTTTTAAATCAACTGTGATATTATTTACAGCTTATAGAAGAGAAATTGTATTTATTTGAAAACATTGATGTATTACAAGATTCCTGAAATATACAGCTTGTGATTTCTCCAAACAGCATTCTCCTAATCAGGTAAATGATTGCTCTGTAGTTGCTACTTACCATTCAATAAATGTTTGCAATGTCAGGGATTTACGGTGCAAATTTTAGACGCAGTCTTTGAAGTGGTTATTTGTTCAGTCTGCCATAATGAAAGGAAGAAGAAATAAGATACGTTTAGTAAACTGTTGGGATGATACATAAAAGGGTTTTATCTGGGTCTCTGGACAGTAATTTTTTTATTATAAATATGTTAGGAGAATTTTTGTTCCACTTTCTTTGATCCTCCACCAGGGGACACCTCTCAAGTGTTTTTGGAACAGTTTGCATCTCTCCCTGCCCTATCACTAGATCTGGGACCCCCACCACTAGACCTAACCCATTAAAAACTTAGGCAACCTCAACCTCAGGGAAAATAACCAAGACTGTCTGGTGTAATGAATTTCACTGAAAAGTGAGCCTTGTGGCCATCTCTCTAGCATCATTCTACTATGCATTAATTCACTCAACAAATATCTTCATTTTACTCTGTGCAATGTCACTGAGGGAGATAGAAGGGTGAAGCAAAGAAATCCTACCCAGTAGTACATAACTCTATCAGATAATGACTTTCATTAGTTGTACACTTCCTACATGTCAGGGATGGTGATAAATCACTTTACATAACTTATCAAACATATCCCATGAGACAGTTATTATTACCCCCTACTTACAAATGAAGCAATTGAGACTCAGAGGATAAGAATTTCAACCCAGTTTTGAGAAGTAGTTCAGTGGCAGAGCCTCAGTTCAAATTCTGTTCTAACTATACAAATCCTGTGGTCCTAACCTCCTTCACAGGATAAAACAAATGAGTTGCCCGAGGAGGAAGAGAAAAAGCATGGCATGAAAGTGTGGATCACATCCCCTAAGTGCCAGGAAGACTTTATGGGAGAAGGAGTACTTAACCTAGGTTGTGAAGACTGAGAAGGAGCTGAATTGATGCTGCTGGGAGAGAGGATCATCCCAGGCAGAGGAGATAACCAGAGCAAAGACACTAAAGGGGAAACGCATGCAACACCCTTGGGGCAAGGCTCAGTGCGCCTAGATGTGGAAGTCAACACAAGCACCATCATTTGGTGCCAGATCACAGAGGGCCTCCAGTACCAACTATGGGATTTACTGTGGAGAAGGAAGTAGAGAGCTAGCATCGAGAAATGGGTCAAGATTCGTTGGGGGAATAGGACATACCTCTGTTGACTAGAGTTCTGTAGCAAGCAACCAATTAACACATTCAAATGAATATCAAGCATTAAATATTTAACTGGGAAAAAATAATAAGGGCTTTTAAGTAATTAGATCACACAAACGGAAATATAACTGATGACAAAAAAACAAAAAGAGTATGATATTCCAAATAAGTCTTCATTATTTCTGAAACATACCACCTCTGCTCTTCACTTCAAGGAAAACAAGTAATATGATCTGGCCAGGTTCCAGGATTGTGAGAACACCAACCTTCCTGCCCTCCAGGAGTTTGTGGTACAATGGGGGAAATGTGATAGGCTACGTCACTGTTCACAATAATTACTGCCACTCTCTCCCATGAGAATACAATATATCTCCACTTAGGGCTTGCTTTGGCTAAGGCAATACAGGTAGAAGCAATGTTTCTAGGCAGGAGTATTAGGGCCAAATGTGAGAAGTAGAGTCTAAGTAGTAAAGTGAGAGGTAGAGTAAGCATAAAAAACAAACAAAAATGAACTGATAGACAGGATGGTGGGACAACAGAGGAAGGAAGATTGAGAAAGGCCTTGCAGGCCACACTAAGTCTGGGGACAGCTGGGTGGCTCAGTCAGTTGGGCATCCGACTCTCGATTTCGACTTAGGTTATGATCTGTGATTTGTGGGTTCGAGCCCCAAATCAGGCTCTGTGCTGACAACACAGTCTGCTCAGGATTCTCTCTCCCACTCGCTCTCTGCACCCACTTCTCTCAAAGATAAATAAACATCAAAAAAGAAAAAGAGATTTGGCTTTTGTCCTACAGCCAATCAGAAATCTGGGACATAGCATGGGTCAGGTCTGCCTTTTGGAAAGATTTCCTTGGCAGCTCTAAGGAGGAAGCATGTGAGAGGGGTTGGCTCCTCTTTTGGATCAGGGAAGTTAGTTAGGAAGCTCTTGCTACAATCCAGGTGAGAAACTGAACTGAGTCTGAACTGAGACAGGACCTATTTGCTGCTCTGAAATATGAATGAAATAAAGCTTTTCAAAAACATTTAAGAAGGAAATTAGCTCAAAACTGGTGAACTGCAAAGCCAGCAAGGAAGCACCAAAGCTTTTCTGATTCAACTCTGCCTCAATGAAGATCTTTGAATTTTTTTTTTTGCATTCACATTGTATCTTTTGTAATTAAGTTCCAAACTCATAACTTTATTAGTTATAAAATTATTCGCCTACCCTTTTCCTCTTTCTAGGCCCCTTTCTCCACTCATACATGTAAATATGTTCCTAAGAAATGTGTTCATTCATTCATTCGTCCCCAAAATGTTTATTGACTGCCCATTATGTAGAAGGCACTCTCTAGGTGTGGGGTACATAAGAACAAAACAAAATCCTTGCCTCAAGGAACTGGCAGCCTACATGATAAATATATAAGCAAATAAATAATTACAAAATGCAAATTTCTATGAATAAACCAGCAACAGAATGCCAAACTCAGTAATAGAAGCTGTACATGTACACTCATAGAAACGTCCTGGAAGGCTCATCCAAGAAGTCAATCAGTTGAGATATAGGCACTAATATGTTTATATTTAATTTATATCAGTATCATTCTAGAAAAAAAAAGTATTAGTACATCTAGGCTGGTGCTATTATCCCCCAAACACTAGCATTTAAAATACAAAGACACTTGTGGGGATGAGCACTGGGTGTTATGTGGAAACTAATTTGACAATAAACTATTTGTAAAAAAAAATAATAATAAAATAAATAAACATTAAAAAAAGTAAAATAAAATAAAATAAAATACAAAGTCACAGGGGTGCCTGGATGGCTCAGTCAATTGAGCATTTGACTGATTTTGGCTCCGGTCATGATCCCAGGGTCATGGGATCGAGCCCTGCATCCAGCTCCATGCCAAGCTGAAGCCTGCTTAATATTCTCTCTCTCCTCCTCCTCTGCCCCTTTCCCCTGCTTGTGCTCTTTATTTCATAGATAGATGATAGATAGATAGATAGATAGATAGATAGATAGATAGATAGACAGACAAAATACAAGGTCACATTCTTCAAACAGCAAGCAAGGTCTCCAATTGCAGGTGCAGGAATGGGAGTTTAGGAATAGGGAACCCAAGCCCTTTCTATCTCTGGGCACATTGAGGCCATAAAGCCCCAGGGGATCTCTGCAAGGGGCTTAATGGAGCACCTTGGTATTGACCCAGCACCTCAAGTAGGTCTCACAAGAGGCCATGGTAAGGCTGGCCCTGGGAAAGGTGATACACTTGGGGCTGAGGTCTGAACTTAGACTGGTCTGCACAACTGTGGCTCATTTTCATGAGACAGAACCAAAATCCCTATTAATGTTTCCTTTTTAAAATGTCACCAGTTAAAGAGAAATTCAGTGAGTTCTGCCTTAGTAAAAAGTTCTCTTTGTTGATCAAGCTCAAAGGTTCAAAGTTTCAAATCCCAGATCACTCAGCCAACCGCATTAGTGCTGGGCCTTTCGGCAGCAGCCTGTTCACAGAGTAGCTCCTGTCACCTAAAGACAAAGAGTGTCTGCTAGAGAACTGAGCCCAGTTCCCACCAGGGGCCCAAAATTCCAGGCTCTTCTGAAGACTGTGGAGTCAGCTGACAACCGGGCTCTGGCCACCAGCCCACAACCAGCAGGACAGTGACCACCCTCAGCCACCAGCCAACAAGGTTGGATTTAAACTACTGACCAATAGGTAAAAGGCCCTCTACTTCATCTTGGCTTTTCCACACCACCCTTTCATCTGTCATATTTCCCCAGGCCCAATAATTTGATAAAAAAAGGATTTGATTAAGTGCAAGATTTATGAGATTCCACACTGAGGCAAGCGGTAATTGAATAAAAGCCCATTCTAGAAAGATGGCTAGAATATGAACCAAATTCTTTATTTCTTTATCTACATCTCTACATTCACACACACACACACACACACACACACGTGCACACATACATGTGCACACACATATTCAGGCATACTGTTTGGCAACTTGTCACTCAGAAAGACTAATGATAATTATTCACTTTGCACATTTGGCAGATATAATGGGACACTACTTTGGCAGTGATGAAAAATCATCTTCCTTTACTGTTCTTAATCAAAAATTTATTTCCCATTGACTAACCCCAGGAAAAGGTTATCATCCACTCAGTATGTACTTATTTCTCTACTAACAAGAGATCCTTTTCTCTCCCATCCTCAACAATGCAGAATTACCATCATTCCCAAGACCTCTTTGGGTTCCTTGACCAGAAGAGGCATTTAGCTATGTCATCTATGATGTATTGCACATTTAATTGCACTATGCAGCTATTCAAAAAGCATTCAGAAGTAATCATTTAGCATTAATATCCCAGGGCAATCCAAGGTCACAGTACATTAAAAACTAATTCACAGTGGTTCAAGAATGCATTTTTCATATATGGAGTAACATAATTCTTTTATGATAAAAATGATAGTGGTGTTACAGAATGATGAGACACAAGATATTCTGAATATCCATCATTGGACCTACTGTACAAATGGCAAAGTCAGACCTTTGTTCTTCTCATAACTCAACACACCACCAACCTGTATTAAATACTATTGACCATGTTAACCTTTTATACAACTGATCGTGTTTTAAGGAGCAACAGCTCCTTATTTGTTATCATAGACAATACAAGCCTTGTAATACTTATTGTGATAATTTCTCTCTCAAACCTTATTATTTTTTTTCTGTAGTCATTCTAACATCTAAAATTATAATATCCTCATGGATAACTAAAGGCTCTGCTGTGTGTGTGTGTGTGTGTGTGTGTGTGTGTGTGTGTGTCCTATCAACTGTCTTCCAGGAATGCTGTAGGAGATGAAATTATTATAACTTACATCAAACATCTATCATGCTTAAATAATAGTGTCCTGAGGCTGCAGGCCCTCTATACAACGTAGAATAAGCACACTCCAGAACCTATCATCTCTCATCTCCCATACCATTAGCAGTGCTGTCTCACACTTTGCTGCCTTTCAGCAGGCAACATATCAGGAATTATTTCAGCACTTCACAGGTAATATTGTCATTTGTTAATATGCTATACTCTGCATCCAGAGATACCAGATTACATTACTAAACCACTGTTTTTTCCCCTATTTCTTTAAAGTTCACTTCCCAAAATCCACCTTTCCAATCATTCCATATAGACTGGACAGAAGTCAGAACTTTTGTCCTATTCAGAGGGTCATTCAAAATGATCAGTAAGTATCATAACCTTGCATTTAGGGCACTGTTCTAGATCCTGAGTGTGAGTTGAGGTTGGGCATTCCTATAATGGAGATAAGATATATAATCACAAAACACAAAGAAAATGTAAGCTTTGGCCAGTGATAACAGAAAACTGGAAGATGTACTACATGACTAATGGTCAGTGAACAATGCAGGTGTTCCAATGCTGAGTTTGGAAGCAAAACATCACTGCCCTTTCCTTCAGCCCCCAAGACAGTGCTATCGCTCCTGCAATGTGTATTCATGGTTCACCACCTGAGCTGCCTTTCTCCAGACCTCTGAGAAGTTCTTTTTCTAGCACTGCAAGGGAAAGGAAAAGCCCCAAGGATCTGATGAAATAAGAGACATGAATGGGATCTGGGAAACTATCCCTAAGGTGAGCCAGGGGAAAGACCATTTAAACTACTAGAAACCTCTATTTTCAAACAATTTTAACACATAAAGCTACCTTTAGGTAAATTAGGAAAACCATTAGCTCTGATTACAAGTATTTTAAGTAGAAAGGCTCTATATCTATATAAATGATGATCAGCTTTCCTAGCTACAGTCCATAAATCCACAGTCCAATGAAACCTAGGGGATTCTTCAAACACATATACAAGGTGTTTGGGCCTCTTACCCTCTTAGTGATGGATACTGAAGCATTTCTTCTCCCAATTCTTCCTTTTTTTTTCTTTTTTCCTTTTCTCTTTCTCTAACTGGAATCCCAATGAACGTACTGTGAGGACTAGGATTATACCAAACTCAGAAAAGAGGAAGTTAGAAGAAATGGGATAAAATATGGCTGATAACACAAAATTTTCTCAAAGGAATCACTGCTACATTAGATCAATCTCTACTGTTTCCAAGTGGTCAGATTCTCCATCATAGATTTGAAAAAACCAGTAAAACTGATTGAAACAAATAAATCTAACATTCATATTGATTGGGCTCCACATTTTCACATTTCCCATTTGAAGAGTATCTTAATTGTGCCCTTCCCACCCTCCTATCAATCAGCAGTCTTGGGCAAATCTCACTCAGTCTTAGCCTTATAGTGGCCTCCCTCATGAACAGAGCCAGGGAAGCAGAACTTCCTAATGAAATAAATTCCTTATAAAATAAAATAACTTCTATAATTTCTTCAGGCATATTTATTGTTATCTTCACCCTCATCAGCAGCAGCATCATGAAAATCTCCATGTGTCTATATCTCTAGCAAATGACACAGAGAGAAGAGAGAATAAAGCTGAAAAAAAGTTGTCAATCCTGAGTTCTAGTGTCCATCACTATCAAGCTTTCTGATAGTCTCCAAGTCACTGAAACACTCTGGGCCTTTTCATCATCTGTAAGTGTTGGATAGGCTCTTGTTTCCCTTCTAGATTTAATTTTCTGTAACTTTTTATTCTACTTTAAAACATTATGGGGCACCTGGTGGCTCAGTCAGTTAAGTATCCAACTCTTGACTTGGGTTCAGGTTATGATCTTATAGCCATGGAGATTGAACTGCATGTCCAGCACCATGCTGAGTAGAAAGCCTGCTTAAGACTCTCAGTCTCTCTTTCCCTCTGCCCCTCCCCCACGTGTTCATGTGTATTATGTGTACAAGAAAGAAAGAAAGAACAAAAGAAAGAAAACAATGAAAGAAGGAAAGGAAAGGAAAAGAAAGGAAAGGAAAGGAAAGGAAAGGAAAGGAAAGGAAAGGAAAGGAAAGGAAAGGAAAGGAAAGGAAAGGAAAGGAAAGGAAAGGAAAGGAAAGGAAAGGAAAGGAAAGGAAAGGAAAGGAAAGGAAAGGAAGCTCTAAACAGTTTAATTACTTGCCTGACCAAGGTCGTTAAGTTTATAAATAATGGGGTCAGTAATCGAATTCTAATAGGGTTAAACAGAACCTATGCAGTCAGATCTGGACTTTCATTTTGGTTCTATTACTTGTTGTGTGACCTCAGGCAACTTGCTTAAGCTCTCTGAGCATTGATTTTCTCATTAATACAAATGGTAATAATATGGCAGCTACCTCTCAAGACTGTTATGACTTAACACATATGAACAATACCTAGTTAGTGCTTGACATATAGTAGGGATGCAGAAGGGTTAGTTTCTTTTCTTAGCTACATCATGCTCATGGTATGCCAAAGGGAAGGTAAGTGTTAGATCTAACGCTGAGTAGTTGTTAGCAACCATTGTTGTAGTGACTGGTGGAGTGGGATTTAATCACTGTGTCCTACTGCCCTCTTCTGGATCTCAAACATCAGACCTACTTCTGAATTTAGTTTGTTGGTTCATAATTGAGCAAACGCTGGATGTGACCCAATAATGCCTATCCTATAGATTCAATGAAAGCAGTTACTGGATGCAACAAGTGTACATTTATAGCAGAAAAATTAAAGTGATTCCTAACTGTCATGGTTGGTATGTCGAAGCTATGATGAGGTGGCTTAAAGCACACTTTCTTTCACGTGTGTGTCAGGTACTCTAACTCTGTCTGACAGTTCCAGTTAGTCACAAACACTGACTGAATATGTGGCTAAACAGATATGAGTAACCCACCAAACACTTTGAGATTGACTTGGAAGGGAATCCTAACCTATTTAAGGTTAGTTATAGCTCCTAGGCTAACTGTTCAGCCATTTGGTTTTAGTGCATATTTTACTGCAAGCTTTTAAACCTTTAACTATATTTATTCACAGAAATATTATCCATTTCTAATTCACTTACATCTTTTGTAACAAACTGTTGTTTTGTACCAAGTTGATGTCCAAAAAGCCAGACATCCTTATAAGTGGTTCAGATGTTTAGAAGTTTTTCTTAGGTAAATACGGTGAAATGTATCAAATGGGTTACAAAATATTTGAGGTCCAAGTAGTAGGCATACAAGAATAATTTATTTGAAAGAGGTTTGAAATATTTGGAGAGTAACACTCATTTCAGGCAAACACTAAAATTCAGATTTATACCTGAAAATGAACCAAAAAGAAATAATCTGTTGTGTTATCTGATGGTTTACCGCAAGTATAAGTATATGGGCAATCCAAATTTTATTTTTGAGAAAAGTGGAGAAACAACTAGACAATATCTTAGAATTTTCAATACTCAAGATTAATTTTTAAGTTTGTTGTACTCAATATCAGTATAACTTTAGGAAAAAATAATAACTCTTGACTTGAAATAGTGAATGGGTTACTGGGTTGGGTGGATGGATGAATGGTTTAACAGAAGGGATACCCTTAGAATTTTTTAAATTCAGTACATTTTTTTCCAATTGCTTCCATGATCCATACATTACAAACACAAATTATTTTTCTCTGTTATTTCAAATATTTATATTATAATCAAGAGTAAATGGAGATACACATTGCTTTAAAAAGCACAACATTACATAAAAAAGTAAGTCAAATTACAATTAAAATGCACTGAAGAGAAAATACAAACATTCTGAAAATAAATCCTCCTATAAAATGAAGAGTGAGTTTATGTGTCTAATCATAGCCTTATTTATGTTTTCTAAATCTCTATTATCACACATTATATAGGTTTAAAGAGAACTTTATATTTCGATGCCTCCAGCTTTACTTTTCTTTTTCAAAACTGCTCTGGCTATTCAGAGTCTTTTGTGGTTCCATACACATTTCAGGAATGTTTGTCCTAGCTCTGTGGGAAATGCTGGTGGTATTTTGACAGGGAATGCAAAGATGGAAACATCACAATTCTGGATTTCAAACTATATTACAAACTTGCAGTGATCAAGACAGTGTGGTACTGGCACAAAAACAGGCACATAGATCAATGGAACCAAAAACACAGAAATGTACCCATAATTATGTGGTCAACTAATCTTCAACAAAGCAGGAAAGAATGTCCAATGGAAAAAAACGACAGTCTCTTCAGCAAATGGTGTTGGGAAAACTGGACAACAACATGCAGAAGAATGAAACTGGACCACTTTCTTACACCGTACGCAAAAATGAACTCAAAATGGATGAGAAATCTGAATGTGAGACAAGAAATCATCAGATTCCTAGAGGAGAACACATGCAGCAACCTCTTTGACATCGGCTGGGGCAACTTCTTACTAGACACATCTCCAGAGGCAAGGGAAACAAAAGCAAAAATAAACTATTGGGACCTCATCAAGATAAAAAGCTTCTGCACAGCAAGGGAAACAACAGAACTAAAAGGCAACCCACAGAATGAGAGAAGATATTTACAAATGACATACCTCATAAAGGGTTATTATCCAAAATCAACAAAGAACTGATCAAACTCAACACCCAAAAAAGAAATAATAGTGAAGAAATGGACAGAAGACATGAATAGGCATTTTTCCAAAGAAGACATATAAATGGCTAACAGACAAATGAAAAGATGCTCAACATCACTTATCACCAGGGAACTACAAATCAAAACTAAGATGAGATATCACCCCCTACCTGTCATAATGGCTAAAACTAAAAACACAGGAAACAAGAGATATTGGCAAGGATATTGAGAAAGGGGGACCCCCTTACACTATTGTTGGGAATGCAAACTGGTGTAGCCACTCTGGAAAACAATATCAAAAATTAAAAATAGAACTATCCTATGACCCAGAAATTGCACTACTAGGTATTTACCCAAAGGTTACAAAAATACTGATTTGAAGGGATGTTCCCTGATGTTTATAGCAATATTATCAACAGTTATGAAAAGAGCTTAAATGTCCATCAACTGATGAATGGATAAAGAAGATGTGATGTGTATATATGCAATGAAATATTAGTCAGTCATCAAAAAGAATGAAATCTTGCCATTTGCAATGATGTGTATGGAACTAAAGTGTATTATGCTAACTGAAATAAGTCAATAAAAGAAAGACAAATATATGATTTAATTTAGAATGTGGAATTTAAGAAACAAAACAGACTAACATGGGGAAGGGAAAGAAAAATAAGATAAAAACAGAGAGGGATGCAAACCATAAGAGACTCTTAACTATAGAAAACAAAGGGTTGATGGAGGGGAGTAGGTGGAGGATGGGATAAATGGGATTAAGGAGGGCACTTGTCATGAGCACTGGGTGTTTGTTATATGTAAGTGATGAATCACTAAATTCTACTTCTAAAAATCAGTATATGTTAACTAATTAGGTTTAAATAAAAACTTGAAAAATAAATAAATAAATAAATAAGTAAGTAAATACTTTTTAAAATAAATAAAGAGGACTTTGAAGAGCAGTATTATTTATTAGAAAACACTAAGAACTGCTTAGACTTGAGGTTCAGGATAAGAAATATTCCCAACATCACCTAGCAAAGAAGGAATGGAGTAGGAGCCAATCTCAGGACTGCAAGTACACATTTGCTATGTTCCTTTCAAGAGCACCTGCCTAATTCTGAAGCACACGTGTGTGCACACACACAAAAATGCATACAATTCATATACCCATGTATTCATTCAGCAAACACTAAAGGTCTATAATAAAGACACATATCAAAAATCATCATCTTAACAGATCCCCAACATGCTCCAACAGAATGGGTGGTCCTTTGCTCTGTGACCTGACCCACTCATTCATTCTTCTATCATTGCCTTTATTGCACTATACTTATTGTTTACATGTCTGTCACTTATCCAGACTATGAACTTAGCAAACCTATGGGCTCTATGTGTTATTCATATTTTTATCTCAAACACCTAGCCTGATGCCTAGAATATAGTAGATGCTTC